ACGTGGCATGGTGTTCCCGGCACACCTAAAAATTTCTCACCAACCACCAAGTTGGAATCCGGCTCCCCAACAGCCGTGAGGAAATCTGCCTCCGGCAAGTTTAACTTCCATGATAACCCTTCTGAGATTTCGGGGGAAGGTCGTTGACCGAGATCCAGGCCGAGGCGGCGAGGTTCACGAATTCGAAGATTCCGAGGAGCCACCATTTGATGACGGAATCACAGACAAAGTGTCAATCCATGTTGGAGGTTAGGGTTTTGGGAAATTGGGTGTGAGGGTTTGAAGACGCAAGTCGACAGCGATTGTGTTTTCTTTTTCAGACATCGCATTCGGACATCAGACCGACATGGTGAAGAACCACGAGTTTTCATCAATGGTTGAGATTCGATTCCCCCAACTTCCATCAGCACGATTGCCATGCGTGGTTCGCCGGGGGGGCCCAGAGCAACTCGGACTCACCCTCGGTGGTCGATCTGAAACAGAACGATCTTCCTTGCAGCGCCGGTGGTCTCTGGTTGATTACTTGTCTCGGTGGTGCCGCTGCTGGTGCTGGGTTCATTCTGAGCGGCAGCTTGTGACCCCAGATCTCGATGCTTGAAGGAGTTGGAAGGACTGTGATTCAAGATTGATTTTTTCCAAAATGAAAGTGAGATTTGGAATCGAAAATGTAAGGATTTTTTCCAAATGTTCCTTCGATCTTGTAGTTCTAATTTGAAATTCATTCTCTGTCTGAACTGTGAGTTTTGAAAATAAATAGCATTTTCGTTTTGGAAACAACAATCTCATTGGGTTGGAGAGGGGGTAGGGGAGAAGGCTAATGGTGGCTGGTTCCTGGAGAGAAAAAGGGTTGGGCATCGACGGAGAATCGCGGATAGTGTTTAGGCATCGACGGCGGGGAAGAACTGGAGGAGATGTGCGAGTTTGAGGGTGAGCGAGTCTGGATTGGCCTCATTGCAGTGGCTGAGGAAAGGGAAGGTGGCTATGGTGGCCCGGGGGGTGGGGTTGAGAAGAGGATCCTCACTTGAGCTTAGGATGGGATCCTCCTGACCAGCCTATCTGTACCGTTTACGATGTAATTATTATAATTTTTAGAGAATTCCTTATTTGGAATCGTTAGATTAAATTTACATGGTCCAGATGAACTGTTAAGGAGGATCCTTATCCTGAGGTCAGGAGAGGATCCTCTTCCGACGGGGGGAAAGGAAGAATGTGGGAGAGCAGGAAAGGGATGAACAACACCTCTTCTTCTTCTTTTTTTTTTTTTTTTTTTTTTTGCCTTTTCTATTTTTAAAGTTTTTAATTATAAAAATGACGGTTTGATTAACGTATATATAAAATTACTAAAAATGACGGTTTGACTAACGTATATATAAAATTACTAAAAATGACGGTTTGACTAACGATCAAACTGACGGTTTGACTAACGTATATATAAAATTACTAAAAATGATAAGTAAATGTATGAAATTGAAATGTTTTAAAGATATTGTATGAGGTTGCAATTGCACTCAAACCTGAGAGTGTAAAATATAATTTACCCTTTTTTGTTTGAGGGGTATTTTCATCTAATTATTTTTAGTGAAGCTCGTGACACCAAAAAAATACTATTCATTGAGCTTGTTGGCTTTATATGTACTTGCAGATGAGCACACACTTTGTGTGTGTAAACAATTTCATTTTATCTTTTGTTTTTTTTATTAAAGAGTGTGATTAGTTTTTAAAATTTTAAAAAGAGTATGAAATAATGATGATGATATAGTTTCTCTTAATAAGTGCATATTTTTTCTTAATATTACATAATTAATGTTTTGTCTTCCTTATGTAAATATTGTGTATCAAAAGTGATGGTAAAATAGGAATATGATTAGCATTTTCTAAAAAAAAAAAGAGGGTAAAATAGGAAAAATAAGGATATGAATGTTATTTTCTCAAAAGATACAAAATTACTATTTTACCCTCTTCATGTCAATATTGTGTATCAAAAGTGAGGGTAAAATAAAAAAAAAAGGTAAAAAGTTGACAAGAAGGATTCTCTTAATAAAATAGATATATACACACACAGAGACTTGCCATTTAACAAAGGGAGTAGGATTTTTTCCTCTCATATTCTCATCATCTTCCATCCCCTCCTCTCACACATTATTTTTTATCTTATTGTCTCTATAAAAAAAATTCAATATAAGATGTTGACGTGGTTTAACCGTGACCGTTCAAATAGGAGGGGAGGAAATGAAAGAGAGATTAGGAGAGGAGAAAACCATTCCCCTTAACAAAGCTATCGAACGAGGGAGAAAGTATTCTAGCGGTGGTTGTTGTTAGCACTCATTTTTTTCGTGCCTCTATTTGTTTGTACAAAAGAAGAATTAGAAAACTAATGAAAAGCATGTCACAAACTTTTTTCATCCAAAAACACTTAATTAACTTTATTTAATGATTATGACACAACAATATCATAATTATATTAAATTTGGGTGCGGTAGTAGTTTTGTAAATTTTTTAAATAACATTTTTATCATAGTAACGGAAAGCAATCATGCATATGCATCCTGATATGGTTCGATCTCCACCGCTCCCCTCCCTCAAATAACTAACAATTTAATCCAATAATGCTAACATTTGTCCAAAAAATAAGAATCAAACTTTTTTTGTGTGGAAAATCTACGTGATACAAGAGAATTTTATTAATAAAAATGAAAAAAAAATTACATCTAGTTTGGAGGATATAAACCTCACCCCTTAAATTCAAGGAAAAAGAAATACATAAAAAAAGAGAGGAGGGGACAAGAACCTTACCTCTCTAAAACATAAAAATATTACAAGAAAATAAGAAGATATAAACCTTATCCTTCTTGAAACATAAAAATATTATAAGAAATATGAGGAACATAGGACCTAACCCATCTAAAATAAAATATTAAAGGTAAGAACCTGCAATAATTGTCAATTTAGTTTTGTGTTTCATTTTTATTATTTAGATCTCTAGCAAGCGACACATACTTGACTTTGGTAATTACTAGTGCATTTTGGATAGAAACATAGACAAATATTCAAGAACACTTTTTGTTAATATCGTGTAATATTGCTCTCTGTTTGTGGTTTTACATTCTTTTCCACAGTTCTCTGAAATATAGCAAAGAAAAAAAAATCACTAATTAAATGTGTGATTTGTTTTTAATTGTTAGCTATGAAGCTACATTAATCAGCAACATTGTTCATGATGGAATTATTAACGTTGCACGCGACTCAATATTTTAGTGAATAAGGTGTTGGATTTCTTTCATGCATCTCGAATTCAAAACTTTCAATTTCTTAAATTATTGTAATAGTTGTTAACATTTTGTGGCATGCCATTGCGGTTAATTTGATTTCCAGAACATTTGTGGTCCTAATTAATCAAGTTTTTATGTAAAAGGAATGACTCGTCAAAGTCATTGCTTTGCATTAGGTCTGGCAAATGGATCTTGTTTATTGTGAAGTGTCATGTCGTGTTAAATTCATTTTTTTAACGAATTCTTAATAGATGATCCGGTAATGATCCAATAAGGATCCGAAGTTCCATTTCTTGTCGGTGTCGTGAGGTGAAAGAAAACGTGTCAGCACCACATGGAAAATCACCGATTGATGAATAGAAGTTCCAAGGAAAATCACCCATTGAACTATAGAAACTTAGCAGGGTATTGTTTCATGAAGATGAGTAAACGTACGTAAAGTAAATAAAATAGTTATTTATTTATTTATTATTTATTTTTATTTTTTTACATTTGATGGCATGCCAATGATGCCATTGCGGTTGGATGAGGATCATTTCTGGGTCCTATCCTTATATTTTATTTATTCATCTATATTGTACAGTCATTTTTCGTTAGATACTGTTTATATTTAATCTTAAATAAAAAATTCATAATGATTTTTTGCCCTTATGATGTATAATAAATAAATAGAATGTGAGGATCCAAATCTATTGTGGTTAATCTGAATTCCTGCAGATTTGTGGTGCTAATTAATAATTTTTATGTAAAAGGAATTGCATTTCATCCGAACGCTTTGCTTGATGTATTTGTCTTTTTTTTCTCACAGAAAAGAGAAAGAGAAAGAGAAAGAAAAGTTATTGTTTATTCTACAAAGTATTGCTTGTTAGTGCTCTGGATTGCAAATTATGATTCCAGGCAATGAAGTTTCAAGGCGGTTCGGCTGTACCCGGAAAGATCGAACGACATTTGAACTTCCTCTAGATGATGAAGGATGAGAGAGAGGTAAATCATGTGTTTCTTATTTATTCAGCTTAGCTGGCAATTAATTAATTAAAGAGAATTTTAACGAAAAACTCATGTTAACTTTAATGAAAAATCACATTTTTACACTAAAAAGTCGATCATGGTATTATTCACTTTACTCATTATTTTGTTCTTATTATTAAAACTCAAAATTTTCAAGCAATTTTCATTAGTTTTTTTTTAATTTTAAATCCTTCGGAAAAATAAATACAAAACAAAGATGTGGCCTTCGAAAGTGGGCAAATGGGTCGGAATTATTAATTCATTCCTGGTGAAGAAAGGCCACGGGTGATTACAACATCAACAAACTATAGTGATCAATCGATCAAAGGAAAAAGAAACTCCATAATGGAAAAAGACACGTTCTTCCTTCAATTAAAGACCCCCACTAGTTAGTGGAGAGAAATTTACCTACATCATCTGAGATACTTTCCTCAGTATGGCCACTTTATTAGTAATATTTTTATATTTTTCAGTGGTCTGTGATTATTTTAAAATATTGTAATGGTGGATTGTTACATCAAAGGTAGTCGGTTGTAGTTTGCAACAAAACTTCCTCTCCTTTACATTAAAAACCGCCATGTAATAATTTTATATTTTTCAATCGTCAATATTTTGCCACGAAAGTTCATTTCCTTCAACTTGTTCGCATTCACATTGAAGGGTAGTAGGAAGGAAACTGCTTTGGTAGGTAGGACGAAAAGCATGAGGACTAAGATAACAAGAGAGAGTCCACATTCACATTGAAGGTGGTAGGAAACTGCTGCTCCCTTCACAGGAAGAAAAGCATGCATAGGCCTAATATATATAACAAGAAAGAGTCCACTGTCCACACTCCATACCATACTGCATATTCCAATTCTTTGAGACGCTCTTTTCTTTAGTTTATTTGTCCTTAATTCTCTTATGGCCATTCAACTTGCCTCTTCTTCCTTGCCTCCTTCATGGACATATGATGTATTTTTGAGTTTTAGAGGTGAGGATACACGTTTTACTTTTACAGATCATTTATACGAGGCCTTGAACCGCAATAGAATCAACACTTTCATTGATCGCCATCTTAAAAGAGGAGAAGAAATATCACCAGCTTTTCTAAAAGCAATTGAAGAGTCGAGAATTTCAATCATTGTAATCTCTGAAAACTATGCATCGTCAAGATGGTGCTTGGATGAGCTTGTACATATACTTGAATGTAGAAGGTCAAGGCAGCAAATAGTTTGGCCAGTTTTCTACAAGGTGGATCCGTCCCATGTACGAAATCAAACGAGTAGGTTCGGTGACGCATTTACAGGACATGAATGCAAATACAAGGACGAGGGGAAGATCCTCTTATGGAGGAGTGCTCTAAAAGAAGTAGCAAATTTGTCAGGACATACCGTCAAAGAGGAAGAGTACGTACATTTCTTCACTCCTTGTAGTTTGTTTAATTATATGATTCTGTATTTCAGGTTTTAGTTTCTACTACAATAATACCTATTTAGTTGCTAGTTTTTAAATCCCTAGCAAGAGGCACATACTTGACTGCAGCAATTCCATAATTTTCCAGCTTTGTTGAATGGCTAGTCTATAATTTACATATGAAGAAGATAACTCTTATCTATGCTACTAAATAAAGTTGGAAGCCCATTTGCGGTCACGGGTTTCACCATAAATGATGGGACAAAAATGCCCCTAAACATAAAAGTTCAAAAAAGTCCGAAATAATGCATCAAATAATATAGGAATATTTTCGTAATATAAACAATATTTTTTTTATAATTAATTTTTTTGTACAGTTTTTTTATTTTATTTTTATAATTAGTACCACAATGTGTTAATAATAATGTGATTCAATCAGTTGTTAATTAAATATTATTTTATCTATTTTTAAACACGTTTAAAACATCTTAAAAGGCATGTAGTGCCGGTTATAAAAATGATCTTTTGCGCGTGTATTATCTACAATAATGAGGAGGTGATAGATTTACTCCACATGCGCTACGTGCATGAAGGCTAGTTTATGTTAAACCTACATGACCATCTTCTTCATATATAATTATAGACTCATTCACCAAAGCTAGCGAATCAGGGAGTGACTCTTGTTGTTGCTGGCACTCCTCTTTCGTGTAATACTCTGTCATCTTTTTTTTTAACTGATAAACTCAGACTTGGATTCTCTCCTTGAGCCTAAGGAGAGGATTCTCCTGACCAAATAACTTGGGCCGTTGGATGAAAATCCAACGACTACAAACAGGGGGTCCCTTTAAAGTTATAATAATTATAACCGTTGGATTTTCATCCAACGACCTAAGTTATTTGGTCAGGAGGATCCTCTTCTTGGGCTCAGCAGAGGATCCAAATCCGATAAACTCACCCCGTTACTCTATCTTCCCACACATTATTATTCCATCCGCCATAAAAAATTAAAAAATTAAAAAATTAACATCTTATTTTCCACCCCCTATAATCCCAACTAACTTTTATACAACACACCTCAAATGTCCTATTTTCATCGCCAGTCCCTTGGTGAACTAAGCCAGTCCCTTAGTGAACTAACTTTACACCAAAATTTACATCCAGAAATTAACTTGTTTGGTGAAAATTTACATCCTCGAAAGCTACATAGTCATTGGTTTTGTTGGAGAGTTGTAGAGAGCAAAAGATCTACTTCATCAATTCAACTAATTTAGTTCGAAGCAAAAGAATTAAATCGAAAAAGTGGAAGTAAGAATATCAGAAACAGTAAAAGAAAAAAATGCGAATCTGCAAGTAAAGGGGAAGCAGTTTAAGAGGGAGAGCGTACCGGCGAGCTTCTCAGCATCGAACCAAGATTCTGATTTCTTTGTCCACTCTCTCTCTCTCTTAAATTGCTCTCCTAAAGCTGAGATTTGATTCAAATGAGCTGGAAGCTATCAAATTAAAGATGCAAAATTGCAATAAAACGTCAAAAAGTTTAAAATTTGTTGGAAAAATCCACAAACTGATGAACATATTTGGAATTGGAGCCCCAGAAATCACAGAAACGAACCATGAGAAATGCTATCTGTCGGTGGATTCTTGAACTTCTTCTGCCACCGGAATAATGGATCTTTCTCCCACGGATCAAAACTTGACTCCATTAATTAATCTGCCCAAATAATGTACCTATGGTGTTGTTTTATAATTTACCGATTACTAATGATGTTAGGTAAATTAGTACTTTTAGGAAAGAAATGATACATATCCGTACAAAACATCTGTTTTCATCAGGAAATTTTATTTGAACACATGTAACATCTTTCTACACTCAATTTACTCTTTTCACCCATATTATTTTTTATTATTAAAGAATTAATCTCTCTTTAAACCCAAATTTATTACCTAAACTACTATCTCAAATCCAATTCAAAATATTAAATTATTTTTACATGCATTCTCTTTATAAAATAACATCTGTAGTTGATTTTTTTTTTTTAAAGAGGCATCCTTGCCCCACCCCCTCTTCCCAATAGCATTTCCATGACTACTTTTTTTCTTCTTTCTGCTACCAAACCCAGACATTTGCCTTTTTTCTTTCTATTGATGTGCATAAGCAACAAATCGAACAATTCATCCCCTTATATTTATCAACAAGCAAGGAAGTTTATAATTTAAAAACATTGGTAAGAAGTTTTTTCTTAGAATTTTCCAATTGCAAAAAGCTTAACAAACCATTCGGAATTGATGAAAAAAATTGAAACCCAAATACTCATCTTTTAAACTTTAAAACAAATTTAAATCAAACGAACAAAATATTCATAAATTGAGTCATATCTTAGTTGGAGGATTCAAAACTTCAAAATCACCATCCATCAATAAAAAAGCTTGTTTTTCTCTACAAGACCTATTAGGGTTTTAGCCAGAAAGAATGTAGGATAAACAAGAAGTGATGGTAAGGTTTAATGGGTTTATAGATAAATTTGAGTTTTATTATTAATTTCATTTTGTACTTAATAGTAATTATACAATATGTTAAAATAGGCAACAACATAACATTTAAATGAAAAAAGAAAAAAAGAAAAAAGAAGAAGTCTATGTCTTATTATTATTATTTTAACAAAAGAGCAAAAAAAAAAAAAAAAAAAAAAAAAAAAAAAAAGAGTCAATGTCTTAAGTACGGAAAGATGTTATGTGAAATTGTGAATAATGGCATAGGGGTAAATCATTTTTACTAATGGGTCAATTATTATCTTACATGATTCTGTATTTAGTTGCAAGCGGCACATGCTTGACTGCAGCAGTGATTATCTATACCTCTGTTTTTTTCAATCCTTTTTATCTTTTCATTCTCTTCTTCTTTTTACATTTTTTTTTTCCTTTTTCAAAGAAGTATAGCATAAAAAGTTGATTGGCTAAATGTGGCAATTTTTTTATGTAAACTGGTAGGTACGAAGCTACATTCATCAGACAGATCGTGAAGGAGATCCTAGTCCTTGTACCACAACGCCCGCATTTGAATGTAGCCAAATACCAAGTTGGAATGGAGTCTTGTGTAGAAAAGGTGAAAGAGCTGTTAGATGTCGGTGGAAATGATCCGTGTGTGGTTGGGATTTGGGGGGCATCTGGAATCGGCAAGACAGAAGTTGCAAAAACTGTTTATAATGCAATTGCTTACAAGTTTGAAGGTAGTTGTTTCCTGGCAATGCAACCAGGAGGCCTACTCCAACTACAAAACACTCTTCTAAGTGAGATTGGTGGTTCAAAGTGGAAAGTTGTCAATCCTCATAGAGGAAACAACCTTATAGAGAAACTGTTGAGGCGAAAGAAGATTCTCTTAATTCTTGATGATGTGGATGAACTGGGGCAGTTAAACGACTTGGTTCAAGTTGAATGGCTCGGTGAGGGTAGCAGAGTGATCATAACCACAAAAGACAGAGGATTGTTGAATTCTTATGACGTTGGGTTGATATACAATGTCCAAAAGTTAGAAGACAACAAGGCTCTTGAGCTTTTAAGTTGGAATGCCTTCGGAAAAAAAGAACCTTCCGATGATTATTTGGGATGCGCACGACGTGCAATAGCATATGCTCAAGGCCATCCGTTAGCACTTAATCTTATAGGTTCTTATCTACGGAATAAAAGTAAAGATCGTTGGCAAGCTATATTGGATGATTACGATTCTTACAATAGAGAACCTTATGGAGGAATTCAAAAAATACTTCGAAAAAGTTATGATACCTTGGATTATGTCATGCAACAAGTTTTTTTAGACATTGCATGCTTCTTCAAGGGTAAACGTAAAGACTATGTGTTACAAATATTAAGAAGTTCGAAGCTTAGTGTACCTCAAGATTGTATTGACTTACTCGTTGAGAAAGCCATCATAACTATTGAACATAATAGAATTTTGATGCATGACTTGCTAGAAAAAATGGGTAAGCATATAGTTTGGGAAGAATCGCCCATTGAACCAAGCGAGCGGAGCAGATTGTGGAATCATGAAGATGTGTACCGTGTTCTAACTGAAAACAGAGTAAGTAGAATATATATTCTTGCATTTGGTTTAATTGGCATGATTTTGGAAAGAAAAAAAAAAATTAAAACCCTTTTGATTTCTTTGTTATACGAATTGTTTGTTAACACTATTTATTTTTCCATCTTAGGGAACAAAGAAAATTAAAGGCATTGTGGTGAAGTTGCCCAAGCTAGATGTGATACCCTTGAATGCAAAAAGCTTTTTCGAGATGGTAAATCTTGAAATTTTTATAAGCCGTAATGCACACTTTTCTGGATGCATTGAGTATCTACCTGACGATTTGAGGTGGATTGAATTCGGTGGAGTTAAGCTTCAAGATTGGGGATCCAATATTCTTCAAAAGCATATACTTACATTCAATTTGCAATCCAATTGTCATCTAAGGCATCTTGTCGCGTTTATTATGCCAAACAGTGGCATCAAACAATTGAAGGGATTTGAGGTATGTATACGTATTATAAATTAATTTGGACAATTACTAATTTAATTGTATATTTTATTTTTGGAAAAAGAAATTTGCCAAAGCTTTTCATCATTAATTATTCTATTTAAAGTTTGTGATTTTTTTTTCTTTTGATTTTGATTTCACAGAATTTGGCAATGCTTACATCTTTGGTTTTAAGTGGTTCCGAATTCTTAGAAAAAATTCCCAACTTATCAGGAAGTCCAAACCTAAGGGAGTTGATTCTAGATAAGTGTAAAAGTTTAGTTGAAGTTGATGATTCTGTTGGATTCCTTGATAAACTTGTTAAATTAAGTCTTGTTAAGTGCTCTAGTCTTAAGAGATTTGCGACGAGACTCAGATTGAGATCCCTTCGAAGCCTTGATCTTGAGGGTTGCACAAGGCTCGAGAGTTTCCCAGAAATAGAGCCCAAGATGGAATCTCTAGAGTGTTTGGACATAAAAGAAAGTGGCATAAGAGAATTGCCTTCATCAATTGCATATCTTACTGGGCTTGTCTACTTGTGCGCACGTCATTGTAAGAACCTTACAGGTACATCATTACGTCACATTTTTGGGTTGCAACATCTCGACTATATTGAAATGGATGGATGCCCAAAACTGGGGACATTTGGGAAGTTTTCAACTCACTTAGATACTTCACATGACAATGGTAATCCATTAGCCCTTCCCAACGTAGGCTGTACTTATCTTGATCTTAGTGGATGCAATTTATCAGAAACTGATTTTCTTGTGCCTCTTCATTGGTGGTCCAAATTAGAATGTGTTGGTCTGGATAGAAACAATTTTGTTAGTCTACCTGAATGCATTAGCAAATTTGTTAACGTGGGAGTACTTGATTTGAATGGTTGCAAGAGGCTTCGGGAAATTCCACATGCCCTTCCACCAAATCTAAGTGAATTATATCTGGATGATTGCACATCATTGGAGAAAATTCCAAAGTTGCCCTCGGGGCTTAGGCTTCTGCAGTTGGAAAATTGCTTTAGACTAAGTGGCGATGAGGTGGCAAAGTTGGAAAATAATTTGTTGAACTTGAATCAGGTTTGTCTCTCCTCCCTTAATTTCTCTTGAAATTAAAATATATAATTTGTTGATACTTGGGAGGGAGGATAGATCACGATTGTTTATAATTAGTTATTTACATATTATTCACTATTGCAGGAATCTCTTTTGTGCTCTCAATTGCAAGTTACATATCCTGGCAATGAAATTCCAAAGCGGTTCAGCTATACCTCTAAACATCTAACAGCCACTAGGATTGAAAGTGGATGGGAAGGGTTTTATAATGGAGGTAGTGAATTTAGTTTTGAAATTCCTCTAAATTTACAGGAGAGGGAGACGTTATTAGGATTGGCCTTTTCTTGTGTTTTTCAACCACTGCCACAATTGAGAGTATATCACAGTTCTCGTGTTCGTGTTTTTCAACCACGGCCTTTATTAGAATTGAGAAATTATTTCGAAGGACGTGATTATAAAAACTTTGAGTGGTTGTCGAGATGGAGGCAGACAGATCATGTGGGGCTCATGTTAGTGGATTTAGAAAAGAAGCAGGGAGATATTTGTAAAGTTAAATTTCAAACCCACGGGGACACACGCATTAAAATCTGCGGGGTGCACCCCTTATTCCGCAAAGAAGATGAACGGCTTCCCTTGTCTTTGGGACCAACGAGTAGTCTTGGATCCACAGATATTGTCGATGATGAATATGATCGGCAACAACAATGGCCTTCCTTATCTTTGAACCCAGCGGATGATCATCCGAAACGCACGCAGATTGATCACAATGTTCCTTCTGATATTGAGGAGGAGCAAGAGCAACCGCCCACCATTTCTGATTTACCACGAGTTTGGGTACGTACATTTCAGTTTTAGCGATTTTTTTATTATTCTTTATTGTGATATCCTTTTTAAATTAATATAATAAAAATTAATTAATTTAAATTAAATACAGGAAAAAATTTGAAACAGTTTTCAATCTGCATAATCAAAGATTTCATATCTGTAGGTGATTAGTTATTAGTAAAACAGAAACCACATTTGTATCTTGAAGTACCTTTCACGATAAAATCAAATCCTAATTAATCAAAACAAACAATTATGGAAGGAAAATATACAAGGGGAAATGAGATTATAAGTACAAAATTCAAGATTAATTACCTAAAACTTGGTTTTGTTCATATAAGTACAAAATTTCTACACGAAGATCAAAGAACTACATCGTTTGGATGAACATGTAAACCACATGCTTCTCCCTCTGTTAATCAAGTTTACACGCGGAGATGGAAGACTTGTAGGACTACTATTTTTTTATTTGCATTTACTTCTGCCTTTTCAATTAATGAATTGGTGGAAAATTTGATTTGGTGTGGATTTAGAAAAGAAGCTGGGAGATATTTGTAATGTTGAATTTCTTTTCCTCCAGGACGCACGCATTAAGAGTTGCGGTGTGCACCCACTATTGTGCAAAGAAGACGAATGGCTTCCTTTGTCTTTGGGACCAACAAGTAGTCTTGGGAAGAGGCCTCGACCACTTGGATCATCAGATATCGTCCACGAGGAATATGATCGGCAACGACAATGGCTTTCTTTATCTTCGAAGCCGGCGGATGATCATCCGAAACACAGGCGGATTGATCTTAATGTTCATTTTGATATTGAGGAGGAGCAAGAGCAACCATCCACTTCAAATGACTCGCAATTTTTTCTTCATTAGGAGTTTGGTTACGGGCATTTCAGTTTTAGTATAACTAAATAATTTTTTTATTTTTTTGTATTGTGAATTTGTGTTACCTTTTTAGATTAATATAATAAAATTAATTAATTTAAATTAAACACAAAAAAATTAGAGTAAATTACATTTTACCTCCTCAACTTTGGATCGCATAACAATCTCATATCTCATCTTTTAATTATTGCTAAATCATACATCAATTTACAAATTTGTTACAATATCATACATCCATCAATTTTTTTGTTAATTTTTATATTAAATGCTGCCGTGGCAAACACAGGCCCGCTCCCTTACCTAACTAGGTTATAAAATTAATTTAATATTAACAATTAAAGAATTTTTAGTTCTAAATTAAATTAAAATTAACAAACAAATTCATGGATATCTTAACGGAGGTTTAAGATTGCAACAAATTCGTAAGTTATTTAAGACATTGCAATGTTTAAAAAATGAGGTATAACTTTGTAATAAGACCCAAAGTTAAGGTAGTAACATGTAATTTACCCAAGAAATTAAACAGTTTTCAATCTGCAGAAACAAATGTTTCATATCTGTAGGTGGCTACTAGCTAATTATTAGAAAAACAGAAACCACTAATCAATTCAATCATGCTCAAACCAATATAGTCTAATACGAAAGGAAAAGTTGGAATTCAATCATGTTAAATTCATAAATTTTGAACATCCATTTCCATCATAATAACCACCACATCATCATATTATCACAACCATTAAATCAAAAGAGATATTATAGATTCATCACTGAATTCATCTTAACCACAAAAAATCTTGATGTAATCAAAAGAGATATTATAGATTCATTACTGAATCCAACAAAAAAATCTTGATGTAATGAAGATAAAATAAAACAGGAAAATTAAAATTTCTACAAAATTATTCCAACTTCAAATCTCATTGGCCTGTATTAAGAAGATAATCCTACAAACTCCCTTTGCCATGCTTTTCTGAAAAGTGATGAATTTGGTTTTGCAATGATCTGGGGATTCTTGGGATATTTGAAATTAATTGGATGTGGCCTTTTCAGTTTTGTTGGTTCGTTTTTGGTTTTCAAAACTTCTCTATATGTATGTATGTACGCATGGTACAATGCAAACAGCCTAACAACAGTTAATTAAAACTAACTCAATTTTTTGATATGATTACTAAAATTTGAAGCTTGGAAATTAGAACCAACCTAACTCCAGAGGCATCAAATGTTTCCTTGGGAAATTGACCTACCTAACAGGAAAGTTCTAAGTTAGGAAGGTCCGGAAGGAGTAGATAGGTTACATTTAGAGAAGTACATGAAATTTTATACTCTACACCACACAATTGCACAATGCACACATGCCTTTCTCAAAAAGAATAAAAATATTGCAGCCACTTATTTCAAGATATTTTTCTGATGCAATCTTCACTTCTGGCATAAATATGATTCTTCCCTCAAGTTTGTTGAATAATTTGCTTAAGCATATCCTTTGGGAATGGTGGAATGAAGGAGATGCATAGTGAAGTTAATATATATTGGCATCTAAACGTGTTAACTCCTCTCATTACGAATGGCTGATAATTCAAATGCTAAAAATACAATTCATATCTACTTCAATTATATGCACTAATTCCATACATGTGTGGTGAGCTCAAGCATTTGCTGAAGCCATATGGTATATTGCAGTCTCTTTCAACTTTGTTAATAACGAATAAGCATATTTCAATATCTTTATTTTTCTTTCTCACTTAGGTGCACTTTGATGGGAAAGAGGTCGCTCGAAAGCGAAAACATGGTGACTTTGAGGAGGAAAAGAAAAGAGAACACGTACGTTCCTTCTTCCTTTTTCTTTCTGTGTGTTTTGGGGTGAAGGATGTGAGGGGTTGTTGGTGTTTGGCATATGTGGGCTCTGTTTGACTCTGTTTGTATTCATATTGTTGGTCCTTTCAGGTTTGAGAGATCAATAAAGAGAGCAGAAGAAACAGATGAAGGGAGGAGATTGAGCTGAAAGATCTCCGTCAAACAACATATCGTAATTGTAAAGATTTTTGTCAGGTTTTTCAGATCAACTAAAAATCTCAATAAAAATTGAGGATGTTTGATAAGATTTGAAGTCAATTAGTCAAATGGCAGGCCTAGATTTCCGTCAGTTGCTCAGGTAGTGGAAAAAAACATGCCAACTAATTCAATAATTTCATGTTCGAGACTTTGTCGGTGCCGAAGCGAAGAGCTAATGAGAGAATCAAAGTACAGAGAGACCATGCGTACCTGAATTGAGTTCAGAGGCAAAATCCTTGAACCAACCTCGGGTATCTGAATCTTAATGTTGAAGAACCCTTCGGCTCTGCATCAAAGCAAAGCACAAAAAAAAAACGTTTTTGTTATTAATTTTTTTGTTTCTCGGAAACCAAACGATGGGTTAGAAAAATCGGAAAAGAGGCCAAATTGGGAAGCTTTGCCCGCATCGATGGTGGTGAAGACGAACCCAGAAAATTAGTGAACTTTTTTCTAACCCACAAAATCATCAAGTTTTTTCTAAAGTCTAATTATATCAAATCAGAAATTTGGACATATAATAGGCGTAGAAAGTACCCGTGGTGATGAGGAATAGATGATAATGATGTGGGTTTTTTCAATTGGAAAGATTTGGAGCAAAATTGCTGCTGTAATTTGGAGAAGAGAGCTCTAGAAGGTTTTCAATTCGAATAGAAGTCGATCAGAAAAGAAGAAATCACGGAGAAAGCAGAGATGGAAGAGATCACGAAGCAAAAATCGAAGAACGCGAAGCAGAGATCAAAGAGAGCAGAGATGGTATTTGGCCCCTCAATATGCAGACGTCATCCCCCATCTTCGTTCTGCAAATGAATTTATTCATTTTTCTATACCGAAATGAAAGCTTTCTTATAAAGCATTAATTTCATAAAAACCATTCTTACATGATGATTATAGAGATATATACACCATAACACAACATTCAAACCTCCAGTAATTGAAAGTGCAATGATCTGTTGTAATTGGTAAGTAATACTTAGTCACTCAACAATTAACAAATAGACCAAATAATAAAGAAAAAACAATCTTGGTTAATTCATTTTACTAAGAAGAAAGGTTATGAAGTTCTGAAATGAATATGCAGCAATCTTTTGGAATGTCAAAATTTATTCATAATACTTAACCATGATATACAGATTCTCCGTGTTTTCATCTTCTGAATTACATGGAAAGTAGTGTAACAAAACATGTTCACGTCAAAACTCACATGATTTGGCCTGAAACCACTAAAATTCTTTGCTTATATTGGAAAGTGTTTAACAAATTAGCATGATCGAGGACACTAATTCTAAGGATGGATAAAACTCTCCAACCACTATAGGTTTCATACAAAAACACTCAAAGTGCTCAAGTGGATTACACGGTATCTCAACACAGATCACACGAATGGAAAACATCATCCAGACTTGTAGTGCCTAACACTACACAATCCTACGATAATGTGTGAAAAACCCGACCACATTGTTCAACAACATTATCAAATTGAGCATGGTTCTGATTGATTTTTATACATAATTCAATGATCCAGAACACCGCAACCATAATTTGAACAGTTTGCATTCAGATTTCAGTAAGTAAATAAATAACTACCCTTTTCCCACCCATATGTAGTATATTTACTTTCTTGAGAAAAAAAGTATGAATGAATTGAAAAATTAAGAAAAACCCAAAGAAATAACCGGAATTCTCATGAGGAGGTCCGAGTTGTGCCACCTTTCGAAACGGTTGTTCCAGAAATTATTGCGGGCATCTTCATGAACCTCTTTTGGTGTTCCAGTCTCTGGGTGGAGCTCCCACACCTGGGACTTGCAGCCATATTTCCAATTGATGCGTCTCCTTCATCTTGTCCCTATAACGAATTTCAAGCCCACTACTTTTAACCTTAAAGCATTTATCATGCTGAAAAAAATACTTAAGCATCTTAATTGGATTCCCTACAATTTGGTGGAGTTCATTCCAAGTTATTGGACTCCTATCATTATACCCTTGGTAAATATAAACAATCATTGGGGACCAAGCAGCACATCCTTATCAATAAAAGATTAGCAACCTTTGGCTCAGGATAAACATAATGCATACGAAAAAATAAAACTATAACAAAAAACTTGCACACAAACTTTTGCACTGAAGATGATGAGAATTAAAATTATCACACCAGAACTTACACTTTCAAAAACAAATCATGGACCTACAGATTAGGTAAAAGTCGTGAGGCACTTCATGGCATTTGTCTGGGTCTGATATTTGCGAGCTATTCACATATACCTATCAAAATGAACAACATCATCAAATGCTAGGTTTGACATCTATCTGTAATATAGCAAAGAAAAAAAAATCACTAATTAAATGTGTGATTTGTTTTTAATTGCTGGCTATGAAGCTACAATAATCAGCAACATTGTTGGGGATTTCTTAGTCAAAGTACTACAACGCACGTATTTGAATGTGGCCAAATACCTGAGAGATTTTTCAATGTAATCGGTACACGGATTAATACATCATTTGATACTATACAAATGGTAGGATATTTGTGTTAAAATATTAATAACTTAAAAAATACAATTTCCCACCACTTATATAAAAGCGCATAATGTAGCACTCGTGTTCTGATAAAAAAGAAAAAATTCTCCAATTACCGGTTGGAATACAATGGCAAGACTTAAGACTGAGGTGGGGTCAAAAAGAAAAAAGCATCTATGTCGGATATGGGATCGTGGCGATTTTATAATAGAGTAATGTTATACTACGTTTTTGTATTACATTTTCATACTATTTTAGGTGGTATTTATTGTGGACAGTTACATTATTTAAATTAATTAGATTTTTAAATTTAATTTATTATTTAATAAACTAATAATTAAGAAAAACTAGTTAATTAAATTATGATTGTGGTATACGAGGAGTCGTTCTTCTTCATTTTCTTGGATTTTGCAAATTTTTAAATGATGTGATTGTCTACATCAGATGTCACATAAGATGATATAAAAAGATAGTATGGATAACATTACTTGAGAGAGACAGAATATATGATGCCAAAAGAAGTATTATTTACAAATCAAATCAAAGAGTATTAACTATAAAGATTTAAAGGAAAACTAATGAAAAAAATTTGAAAACTTTGAGTTTTAATGATAAAGACAAAATAAAGGGTAAAGTGAATAGTACCAGGATTGACTTTTTAGTGTAAAAATCTGATTTTTCGTTAAAATGAACAGTACCGTAAACTTTTCGTTAAAACTCTCAAAATTTAATTATCAAAATGTCTTCTAAATTACCATGAAAGTATCATTTTACCCCTTGTGGTCTTTGCTTTTGTACCATATTACCCTAATCTGTCAACTTTATTATTTTTTTTATAAAGAAGGAAGCCGTCAACTTTGAACCATTAACTTTTGCTTTACGACGTCGACAAGATATATACTGGTAATTGATTGACGATTTCTATAATATATAAAGTAATAAAAAAGTGAAAAGTAATTTGATGTCATCAAGTTTCAATAAAAATATTTAGACAAAAATACTCTTAAGATAAAAAATTTCAAAAACTTTTGAAAATCAAATAAGGTAGGGATATTTTTGTCATTTTAACAGTATTTTATTATTATTTACTAATTAAGTTTTGTTGTCTGAATGAAGAAGAAGAGACAAGTTGATTGTTCATTGGAGAAATCCAGGTAAATTGAGGGGGAGTATGGATGCTGGACCGGTACTCGCACCAACAATTCGCTCTCGTTATATATCGGGCCTTTTGCATGTTTTCCTTCCTATGCAGGAACCAGGAGTTTCCTACCAGCTTCAATTTGAATGTGATAAAGTGGAGAGCAACCTTCCTTGAACTTTCATTCATCAAACGGAGATTTACCAGTGTTGCTGACACGGTTTTTTTTTCGAGTAATGTTATTTATATTATGTTTTTATATAATATTTTTATATTATTTTAAATGACATCTAATGTGAATACCCATACCATTTGAAAAATTTAAGGAAATGAATAAAAAAAACTTCTCACATATCACAATCATCATTTAATTAATTAATTTTTCGTAATTATTAGTTTATTAAATAATAAAGTAAATTTAAAATTTTAATTAATTCAAATGATATTGCTATCCATATCAAATGACATCTAAGATGATATAAAAATATGGTATAAAAATATAGTATGAATAACATTATTCTTCTCTGTCACACCCTAAATATAGTTTGCTAGCTGAAAAGGATGGTGTCCTTAGGTGATTTGTTTAGCTTCATTAACCTTCACTGGACTACATTAGGCTAAATGCCAGTGAAATATGGTGTTTGTTACAAGCGGGGACAAGTTTTAATGAGTCCAGCCCCGACTAAACTGGACTACACGCTTCACTAGAGGGTCTTAGCAAGACCCTCCAAAAAGTGGGCGGACTGCTAATCCCGACTCTGCAACGCTTCACCCCTAGTGGGCGGACTGCTAATATTTATTTTTGTGGTTTTTTTGTATAAGGAAAAAGTAAATTAAAAACGATAAAAAAATTATTTGGATCCTAAAATATTTTAGCCCGTAGTTTAGTCTGTCAGTACATCAAATACTTCACGATTCTTATCCAGCTTAGTCCAAGTCAAGCCAATATAGCTTAGTTCCGAAAGCTAGTTCAGTCCGAAATAATCCGGTACAACAAACGTACCCTTATTGTTCTTCTGCAAATGTATTTCTCCACTTCTCTTGTATTTTTTCTCACCACAGAACAGAAGAAGAAAATTATTTTCACAAATACTTCCACATTTTATACACACGCTCTTGTTTTGTGGAATTTAAGTTAATCAATTGAAATAAAAATTAACGGTCAAAATTAATATGAATGTGTAAAAATTTAAAAACAACAAGTTGTGTTAAAATCGTTGCCCAAAAAATTGTCCGAAAGGTGAAGGGATGTGAGGCGGAATTAGGCCCACTCGTTGTCCGTGTGAAAATAAAAGTGTGAAAGGAATCTTTTTGGCTGTTCCCATCACATCCTTCTTGGGTTAACTAAATGAGAATTGACGGTAGAAATGAATGCACTTTGGTGTGTGTTGAATCTTTATCGATCCCTCTTTTTTAACTTTTAACAACTTAACTCATTAATACTAAAACAGATAAAAATAATAAAAAGAGTACAAACAAAAATAATCTTAAACGCTTTTGTTGCAGTCTTTCAAGTTAATAGCGTATTTTCATGCGTTTTAACCTTTGTATGTACATAATTGAGTTGTCATACGGTCATAGTAGCTTCATATGACATCGTTTATGTGTCATGGGGTGAAAAGAGCGTGTGCTTCAGTAACAAACGAAAAAAAAATAATAATAATAAAAATAATTTAAAAATGTTAAGTTTTAATGATAAGAATAAAATAAAGGGTAAAGTGAATAGTACCAAGATTGATTTTTTAGTATAAAAATATGATTTTTCGTTAAAGTAAACGGTACCAAAAATTTTTCGTTAAAGTTTTCAAAAAAAAAAATCAGTGTTTATAAATAGAAGTTGCAACCAAAGCTCCTCTCCATCAACTCTAAAAGGTAGTCTGTAGGAAACAGCTTTGTGGATGTGGGTAGGAAGAAAAGCATGAGGCCTGACAAGAGAAAGTCCCTAAGGGGACTTACACTCCATACCTAGGCTCTTAAGTTTATTTGGCTTTAGCATAAATTATTTTCTCATTTGTCAAAGAAAAAATCACCTTAAATGACTCACCTTTCTTCAGGTATGCGACATTATTTATATGGTTCAAAACGACATAATTTTAGACCGGATATAAATAAGAAAAGGAGGCGGATTATTTGCCCTCTTGTTACCGTATCCTTCCCATCTCCTCCTATTTATGCGGTTACGGTTAAGTCACGTTAACATTTTATATTTCTATTGCTTTTTGTCTTATTATCTCTATTAAAATCAATATAAAATGTTGACGTGGCTTACATGTGACCGCACAAATAGGAGGGGATGGGAATGCCACGATAACAGGAGGGCAAACAATCTGCCTCTATAAGAAAACGCGTGTGAAGAAAATCACTCGACAATCTGTATTTTTTAAAGCACTCCTCGCTCTTTTTTTGCTAATTAGAGCTTCTTTTGGGATTTAATTTCCTAATATCATTCTTCTCACCAAAGAGGAAAATATATAATGTACAAGAATGATTTACAAGGAAAAAACATCAAATAACCTAATTACAATCTGATTACAAGGACTCAAATAGGTAACTAAACTAATTACAAAAGGTCAACTCTCCAACACTCTCTCTTAAGTTGGTGCATAAATGTCGTTCATGCCCAAATTGACAAGAGAGTTGTAGAACGCTTGACTTGCAACAACTTTAGTTAAGATATCCGCTAATTGATCATTTGAGTTTACGAACGGGAATTGAATAATATTCCCATCCAACTTCTCCTTAATGAAGTGTCTATTAACTTCCACGTGTTTTGTGCTTTATTGTTGAATTGGGTTGTGTGAGATATCGATAGCTACTTTATTATCACAAAATAAATATGAGATTCAATTCGAAAGATACCCAAGTTCACCAAGTAACCTCTGAAGCCATAATAGTTCACATACTCCTTTTGCCATACCCCTGTATTCCGCCTCTGCACTTGATAAAACAACCACTTTCTGTTTCTTACTCCGCCAAGTCACTAAGTTTCCTCCCACAAATGTAAAGTAACCAGATGTGGACTGACGATCAGTAGCGTTGCCTACCCAA